TGTTCAATAAAATTTATCGCACCGCTTCCATTTTTAGTGGAAGAAAAAACAACTTTCATCTCGAGAATGGAGCTAACTGTTTTCTGTTATCTTTTGAGGAGACTATTGTTTTCCAAATGAAGAACAAGCTTGCAATTGTGTGCCTTCCTGAAAGCAAAATAATTGTTTAAAGCTTTTATAAGTAAGATGTGCTCTTGGCAACGTCTCCGAAACATGATGTATTGCAGATGTTAAAGCTGAGTAAATTACTGTTAAGTGGGATTTATAAACTTGCTGTTGACGTTGAAGTTCCCGTTGGAGTTGCTGTTCCGGTGGATGGTAACTTTGATGTGTAATTTTTGCCGTATTTAAAGGGGTTGTAGAAGAAAAGTGGAGGATTTAAGTTGATTACTATAAAAAATACCATTTTAGACAAGTTTTAAGTTTCTTCTTAGTACTGAAATAAGTCTACACATATTAAGAAAAAAAAAAGGCAAAATATAAGCCCCGCCCACCCGACCAATCGCAATTGTGATGATTTTTTTTATCAACGAGAACCAAAGGAGCGAAATTTATTAATTGCAAAATCCTTATTATTTTTCTACAAGAAATTACCATGTGAGACATGTTTTTGTGTATCGTGTTAATAAAAAAATACTGCGTATATTAAGAAAATAATTTAAGCCAAAGATTAAGCCCCACCCATACCTGCCCTGATCTAAATAGTAATGAAGTTTTCATTCGTTGGCAGACCAAAAATTTACCATTTTCAACCTGTTTTACGTTTCTAAGAATAAAAAAATCATCACAATTGAGATGGGGTGGGTGGGCGGGTTCCATATTTTGTTTTTTTGTCTTAATATACATAATATTCTTTGAACAACATGGTACTAAAGAAATGTTTTTAATTTCTTGTAAAGAAATAAGTATTTTGCAGTTAAGCTGGTTGACGGCGCATTAAAAAAATCATCACAATCGACATAGGGCCGGTGGGCGGGCTTACATTTTGCTTTTTTGTTTTAATATGTGTAGACTTCTTTTCACAACATGAAACTTAAAATATGTTTTAAATGATAAATTTGTATAAGGAAATATCCATTTTGCAATTAGGCTCCGCCCCATAATTGCAAAAACCATATTTTCTTGTAAACGTGTACCATTTTAACCATATTTTAAGTTTCTTGTTGGGAAAAGATGGCTATGTATGTTAAGAAAAAACAAAGGCAAAATATAAGCCCCGCCCACCCACCCCATCTCAATTCTGATGATTGTTTTTATTCGTCGTAAGCCAAGAGGGCGGAGCTTAACTGCAAAATCCTTATTTCTCTACGATAAATTAAAAATATGTTTTTGAGTATCGTGTTGTTTAAAGAATACTATGTATATTAAGAAAAAATTAAAGCCAAAGATTAGGCCCCACCCATATCTACCTGGATCTAAATATGTAGTAATGAAGTTTTCATTCGTTGCCAGACCGAGGGGTGGAGCCTAATTGCAAAATCCATATTTCCCTACAAACATTTATCACTTTAAACGTCTTTTATGTTTCTATGAATAAAAAAATCTCCTTATATATTTTGCCTTCAGCAAGATATTCAAAAAATGTTTTTAATTTCTTGTAAAGAAATAGGTATTTGGCAATTAAGCTTCGTCCCCCTAGTTCAGGACGAATAAAAAAAAATCATCACAATTGAGACATGGCGGGTGGGCGGGGGTTATATTTTGCCTTTTTTCTTAATATACGTAGCCATCTTTTCCCAACAAGAAACTTAAAACATGGTTCCAAGGAAATATGGATTTTGCAATTATGGGGCGGAGCCTAATTGCAAAATCGGTATTTCCTTATACAAATTTTCCATTTTAAATATGTTTTAAGTTTCATATTTTGAAAAGAAGTCTACACATATTAAACCAAAAATGCAAAATGTAAGCCCGCCCACCCACCCTATCTCGATTGTGATGATTTTTTCATTCGTTGTCAGATCAAGGGGCGGAGCTTAATTGCAAAATCCATATTTGTCCACAAGAATTTACCATTTTAAACGTGTCTTAAGTTTCTAAGAATTAAAAAAATCATCACAATTGAGATAGGGCGGGTGGGCGGGTCGATTTTTCCTTTCTGTTTCAATATATGTAGACTTCTTTTAACAACTTGAAACTTAAGTGTATATTAAGAAAACAAAGGCAAAATATAAGCCCCACCCACCCGCCCTGTCTCAATTCTGATGATTTTTTTTTATTCGTCGTAAGTTTAATTGCAAAATCCTTATTCTTCTACGAGAAATTACCATATGAAATATGTCCTTAAGTAATCGTGTTATGCAAAGAAAACTAAATGTATTGATTATAAAAGTAAGCCAAAAGAGAAGCTCCACCCATCCGTCTCGATCTCAATAAATATGAATATTTCATTCGTTGTCAGACCGAAGGGCGGAGCCTAATTGCAAAATCCATATTTCCTACACTTACGTTTCATGTTGTGAAAAGAAGTCTACATATATTAAGAAAAAAAGGCAAAATATAAGCCCCACCCACCCACCCTGTCTCGATTCTGATTATTTTTTTTATTCATCGCTTAGCTTAACTACAAAATCCTCATTTCTCTACGAGAAATTAAAAACATGTTTTTGAGTATCGTGTTCAAAGAATAGTATGTATATTAAGAAAAAATTAAAGCTAAAGATTAAGCCCCACCCATACCTGCCTCGATCTAAATAGTAATGAGGTTTTCATTCGTTGACAGACTTAGGGGCGGAGCCTAATTGCAAAATCCATATTGTCTTACAAAAATTTACCATTTTAATAAAGAATAAAAAAAAAATCATCAGAATTGATATGGGGTGGGTGAGTGGGGTTTATTTTTTGTTTTTTTCTTAATATACACAGTATTTTTTGCACAACCCGACACTCAAAAATATGTTTAATTTTTTGTAAAGAAATAAGTATTTTGCAGTTAAGTTCCGTTCCTCTTTATTCACGGTGAATATAAAAAATTATAACAATTGAGATAGGGTGGGTGGGCGGGGCATATATTTTGCTCTTTTTGTTTTAAAATGTGTAGACTTTTTTTCACAACATTAAACTTAAAGTTAAAACATGTCTAAAATGGAAATGGATGGCTATGTATATTAAGAAAAAAAAAGGCAAAATATATGCCCCGCCCACCCGCCCTATTTCAATTGTGATGATCTTTTACATTCGTCGTGAGCCAAGGAGGCGGAGATTAACTGCAAAATCCTTAGTTCTCTACGAGAAATTAAAAACATGATTTTGAGTATCGTGTTATTCAAAGAGTGCTATGTATACTTAGAAAAAATTAAAGCCAAAGATGAAGCCCCACCCATACCTGCCTCGATCTAAATAGTAATGAAGTTTTCATTCGTTGGCAAACTTAGGGGTGGAGCCTATTGCAAAATCCATATTGTCTTAAAAAAATTTACCATTTTAATAAATTCCATTTTGCCTTTTTGTTTTAATATATGTAGACTTCTTTCACAACAAGAAACTTTAAACATGCTTAAAATGAAAAATGTTTATAAGAAAATGTCGATTTTGCTATTAGGGTCCGCTACATAATTGCAAAATCCACATTTCCTTGGAAAAATGTAACATTTTAACCGTGTTTAAAATTTCTTGTTGTGAAAAGATGGCTATATGTATTAAGAAAAAAAAGGCAAAATATAAGCCCCGCCCACCCGCCCTATCCCAATTGTGATGATTTTTTTATTCGTCGTGAGCCAAGGGGGTGGAGCTTAATTGCAAAATCTTTATTTGTCTACAAAAAATAAAAAACATGTTTTTGAGTATCGTGTTGTTCAAAGAATACTGTGTACTGTGAAAAAACAAGCCAAAAATCCACCCATATCCATCGCAAGCTCCATTGTGATGTATGTTTCATACGTTGTCAGACTGAGGGGCGGAGCCTAATTGGAAAATTTACACTTTTCCAAAAAAATTTACCATTTTAGACATGTTTTACCTTTGTTGTTGTGACTACGCATTAAGAAAAAAGGGCAAAATATAAGCTCTTGTAGTTATAAATTATAATACCTAATCTTTTTTGAGATGAATAGTAATAAATCAATCAAATCAAAATGAAGGCAGCAACTAGAAAAATGTCACCTCTATTGCAGGGGATTTTCTTTCAAGTTGGCAGTATTGTACACTACCGCAATTTGGTTGAAAACCCAACGTCAACGGCAACGTCAGCGGCAAGTTTTATAAATCGGCCTTTAGTGGTTTACTGGTGATCATTAACTTTAACTGACCAATAAAATTGCTTCTTCAACAACTATTTTTTTAGAAAATAATTTTGTAAATCAGTAACGTTGATGATGTTTACGGTTATTACTTTTTAAATTAACGTGACAAATCTAACTCGGGAAGACAAAATTTCCGGCTATTTTCGTTCTGATTGTTAGATAATTTTATTTGTTCCTGTGTGCTAGTTCCATCTGCATTTGTACTGCATTGGTGCATTTATTAGTCGACTAGAGGATGAGCAAGTTGGCGGATGCACCAGAAACGTGCTCTGTTTTATTCATGCTTATTCACAATATCAATTTATTAAAGTTTCCAGAGTTAATTTTCGAACAGTTTCTAGACAAACGAGCTTTAAAAATTAAAGTTGTATTGTAATCGTATTATGAAATAATGGCTTAAATAAAATTGACACTTTTGTAGCACGAGATTTAATTGAGTATTTATAATTTTATGTAAATAGATAGATGTTGCGTACAGCCGCTGCCACTAAATCCACTAGTTCTAAATGGAAAGTTCAAATTAAAAAATAAATTACTCCGACCGTGAATTTTGATTGTAGGCTTAAAAACGTATCGCCCATGAAGCGGTCATTAAATTAATGTAGTGCAAGAATATTTACCTACAATAAATCAGATGTCGAAACATCTGAAAAATTGGTCAAATAATAACAACGAGAATACCATTAAAAATGATCTTTACCGAAACTGGTTGCGAGCCTCAATCCGGGGGGGACACACCCACCGTATTTGTCAATTTTTTCGATATAAAAGCAACCATTCGTCCCAGTCGCAGCATCATTTGCATTACCGCAATACACCCAACACACAAAAATGGCCGCTAAGGTAAACCACCCCGTACCACAAACCACAACCACCCTCTCAACCCCCTTTTGCAGATCATCGTCTTCTTCGCCGCTTTGGCCGCCGCCAACGCCGGTCTCTTGTCCGCCCCGGCCGTATCTACCTACGCCGCCGCCCCCGCCGTCTCTTACGCCGCTCCCGCCATCTCCACTTACGCCGCTCCCGCCGTCTCCTACGCTGCCCCCGCCGTAGCCGTCGCTAAGGCCGCTCCCGTCGCCACCTCCTACTCCTACACCGCTCAAGCTACCCCCGCCGTAGCCTACGCCGCTCCCGCCGTAGCCGCCGCTCCCGTAGCTGTAGCCCACGCCGCTCCCGCCGTGGCCGCCGTCAGATACGCCGCTCCCGCCATCCACGCCGCTCCCGTAGCCGCCGTCAGATACGCCGCCCCAGCCATCCACGCCGCTCCCGTAGCCGCCGTCGCTAGAGTCGCCGCTCCCGCCGTCTCTGTCCACCCAGCTCCCGCTCTCAGATACGCTGCCCCAGCCATCCACGCCGCCCCAGCCCTCCACGCCGCCCCAGCCATCGGCTACGCCGCTCCCGCCATCGGTGTAGCTCATGCCGCCCCAGCTATCGGTTACGCCGCCCCAGCTGTCGGTCTCGCCCATGGTTATGCTGGATATTCTGGACTCGCCACCGGTTATTCTGGACTCGCCCACGGTTATGCTGGTCTTTCTCATGGTTATGCTGCCGGTTTCGGTGCCGCCAAATACTTCTAAATGTTGATGACGTCGCAAGAGAAAAGTCAGTATAATATTGGCGGCACGTCTGGATTTTCGGGGTGCTTGTGTAATGCAAATGATAAATTTACTATACTTGTTTTTGTTGTACATAGTTTAAATAGTTGTTTTGTAGAGATGATGCTCACTGTTCATTTTTCTATTTATTTTTACACATGATATTGTACTGAGTTTTTGAATAAAATTCATATATTTTACCTAAAATCTTTGTAGTTTTTGTATTGCGAAACTTTATGTACGCGGTGTATGTTTCAGAGTTTGGTTATGCAAACCCTAATATCGTCTTATTTCTTCGACAGATGTTATCAAAAATTGTCGATGAATATTACCACATCAAACTATCACTGGAATTTATCAAAATTTGCCGCTCACCTTTATTGCAACCTTCACTGCCCTCCATAAACTGACATCAGGTCGTCAATCTGATTATAATTCATGTTCCGACAAGGCGGCAAAAGCAACGCCCACTTTGATGCAACAATTACTCCGTATTTTAGTGACAGCTACGAGCAAAAAGTTTTTATTAGTGAACCTAATCACGATTGCATTTAATTAGGCGACTAAACTGGAAACATCAAAGGCTTTCGATAAAAGCTATAATTAGTTTAGTGCCCGTACACAAAAAATCTGTGTTACATGTTGTTCGAAAGACAACAAAATTAGTGGCTTCCGCAAAAAAAATCATCGCACTATTTTTAGTTTGTCGGATTGAAAATTTGCTAAAATGTAATTTTAATTTCTCTTAAAAAAATACGCATGAAACCTCGGTCGGTTTTCCTATGGAGTCTGTGGAAATACTTACCTTGACAGTTCTTGTATGATTTTTCTAACTCGTCTACCGCCTCGTTAAAAACTTGAATTTGTTTGCGCAAGCTAGTTCAAGTACATAAATATTTTGCGTTATTTAACTTTCCTTACATCGTTTACTTCTTGAATTGTAGCTAAATATGATTCAGGTCTGTTTAGAATCACTCATTTCATTGGACTTTTTCCTTTCATGTTTTCCATTTCCATGCATCTATCGTTTATTATATTTCTATTGTAAATGATTTTGAGAATAGGTATATATTAAAAAAATAAATAAAAAATAACAACAATTGTATTGCATTTTTTTTTTGTAAACTGTAGGCCATGTGAAAAATTTTGTAAGGTTTTTTAATTTATTTCAATAAAAAGGTTATTCTACTTTTTTTAATCAATTATTATTATTATTATTTTAATATCATCTAAATATCCTCGACTTTAATATGCATATATTGTTACAATCTAGTTGAATGACTTTACCATTAATGGACAGGTGATGCAACAAGGAATGCCAAATAAAAAACATTAGTCATACAAAAAAGAAATTTTGCGTCTTAAACGTTATTCAAATATGCGTCAGGGTGTTCGAAAAAATTTTGGAAAATGTCTTTATTTTTGGGAAAGTGTGAAAAAAACAATACTGTGCAACATTCTGTTTTAGAAAAAGCCGTAAACCATATTTCATTGTCCATGTGGTATCTGGACGGTTAATATTTTTCTTAAACCGACGTGATCGTGTTGTTTTATAACGCACTTAACTATTTATAGATCCGTGCCAAAGACAGTCTTAATTAATCTACTCTGAGATCTATTACCCTAATTTGTGACATTTCACCCAGATCAACACCATTTATCCATTAAACAAACGAACCTAAAAATTGGTTAAATAATAAAAACGAGAATTCAACTATAAGTGATCTTTACTAAAACTGGTTAAAAGTCCCATTCAAAAGTGGTTGCAGCGACACACCCATGCGTATTTGTCAATTTTTTAGTATAAAAGCTAGCTCTTTCCACAAACCCAGTATCATTTGCAGTACAGCAATCATCAACCAACACACAAAATGGCAGCTAAGGTAACCAAAACCACCCCAATCTAATTCAACCCTTAATAATTTTTTCTGCAGTTCGTAGTATTCTTCGCCGCTCTGGCCGTCGCTAACGCTGGTCTCTTATCCGCCCCGGCCATCTCCACTTACGCCGCCGCCCCCGCCGTCTCTTACGCCGCTCCCGCCATCTCCACCTACGCCGCTCCAGCTATCTCCACTTACGCTGCCGCTCCCGCCGTCTCTTACGCCGCGCCCGCCGTATCCTACGCCGCTCCCGCCGTGTCCTACGCCGCCCCAGCCGTAGCCGTCGCTAAAGCCGCCCCAGTCGCCACTTCCTACTCCTACACCGCCCAGGCTACCCCTGCCGTGGCCTACGCCGCTCCCGCCGTAGCCGCCGCCCCTGTCGCTGCCGTAGCTAGGTATGCCGCCCCAGCTGTCAGGTACGCCGCTCCCGCCGTCCATGCCGTAGCTCCCGCTGTCAGCTACGCCGCTCCAGCTGTCAGATATGCCGCCCCAGCTGTCAGCTACGCCGCCCCAGCCGTCAGCGTTGCCCACGCCGCTCCCGCCCTTAGCTACGCCGCTCCCGCCGTAGGTCTCGGTTACTCCGGTTTGGCTGGTTATTCCGGTTTGGCTGGTTATTCTGGTTTGGCTGGTTATTCCGGTTTGGCTGGTTATTCCGGTTTGGCTGGTTATTCCGGTTTGGGATATGCCGGTTATGGCGGTTATGCCTCCGGTTATGCTTCCAAATATTTCTAAGTGTTGGATGACTACCGGTTGTAAATATTTGAAAATGTCTGCTGGAGCATTTTGTGTAAGGTTGTTGTTATTGCTTTGTACGAAATGTTGTACTGATTTTTTAAATTAAATTATTAAATTATTTAAATTATAATTCATAGTTGTTTGTTTTTCGGGTCATATTGGGTGACTTTTATTGGTGAAAGATGGGTCATTTCTCACGGCTGTGAGTAACGGGTTCACATCGCAATCGCAAAAGTGATGCTAGGATTGGAGCGTCATGAGCAATCACCATATTTACACACTCGTTGAATAATATAGCATTTTCTCACACTATTCTATTTTTTCAATATTACAACATTGAGTAATCCTTTGGATAAGTTGGAAAGGGAAGAAATACAAATAAATGCCTCTCAATCCATGCGTCTACGATATGCTTTCGGTTAGATAATTATCTAATTATAATTAGCAGAGCGGGTTCTTGGGGGTAAGGCGATGAACCTCGCGTCGGAGCAATTGACTTTCAGCGCTCTACGGTACAAAAGTTTTTTTTTTCCTTCAAATTCACAATAATAATGATAAGGATGAACTTGAAAAAATCTTTTGAAATTTTACTGTTTTATTTTTTATTCCTATTTACCCATGGTGTATTATTTTGGAAGCCGATGTAGATTTTTTTTTTTTAATTATTTCAAACAATTTTGGGGGACTTGTCAAAATAAGACTGATTTTGGCAAATGACCTTCTCTCTAAGAAAATATTTTTTTCTTAGAAGGATCTCATTTGCCAAAATCTGTCTTATCCTAGCAGGTACTAGCCCCGCCCACCCACCCTCTCTTTTCTTAGAAGGTATCTCATTAGGCAAAATCAATCTTATCTTAGCAGCTACTAGCCCCGCCCACCCATCCTCTCTTTTCTTAGAGGATATTTCATTTGGAAAAATCATTTTTATCTTATAAGGAACTAGCCCGCCCACCCGCCCTCTCTTTTCTTAGAGAATATCTGATTAGCCAAAATCAGTATTATCTTAGCCAGGTACTTAGCCCTCTAAGAAAATAAAGGGCTAGTACTTGCTAAAATAAGACTCATTTTGGAAAATGACATATTCTCTAAGAAAATAACGGGTGGGTGGGCGGGGCTAGTACTTGCTTAGATAAAACTGATTTTGGCAAATGACATACCCACTAAGAAAAGAGAGGGTGGGTGGGCGGGGCTAGTATCTACTAAGATAAGACTGAGTTTGGCAAATGAGATACCCTCTAAGAAAAGACATTTTCCAGACACCCGATATAAAAAGAATATTATATTTTTTAAGGATGTATGATTTTTTTTTCGAATAAAGGAAAGTCTTTTCTTCATCTATGCGATTCTCATTTATGTATGCTATTAATCTTCGGTTTTGAGAGTGCTTTCGACAATTATGAGCTTCTATACAATCGGACGAAACCGCAGCCTATACTACCGCTAACGATTAGGGGAAATCGTTGTTAGTAATGTGAAAATCTTTCTCTTCCGTCTGAAGACGGTACTATGTATCGAAACACGTATGTCAGTGTCTACAAATAAAATAATAGTAACTCTAAAGCAGAATTTTTTATTTGAGAGTAAATTTAAACTCGCCCAATTTTCATTTTTTTTTTAAGAAAGCAACACTGATTTAGGGATTGCAAAACATTTATCGAAATTGATTTATTCATCCTCTGAAGATGTAAAAAATTTGTTGTTAAAATATTTACAAATTTTTGATTTTTGGTTTAAGAGTTATGTACTTTAGAAAGATTTAGTGACTTAATGTTTGTGATGTTTTTGTCAGGTTGGCAGCTTATTTAACATTTTATGATGGCATACTTGATTGTCAAAGTGACATTAATGACAGCTGTGAATTGTCAACATGGATGCCAGTAATTCAGAATTGCCAACACAAAAAATTCCCCAAATGGAAAATAAAAAGCCACAAAAGGGTTCGTAATTCAGAAAAAACAAAAAAATTAAAAAAATGAGAAAATCTTGAAATGTTCTTTTTTCTTTATTTAGACAACATAAAACGGAAAACTTATCTCTATCGGGTTCTGCAGACTTCAGAAATAATGAAATTGTTGCAGATTGCATAATATTTAGTATCTGAAATTGACAGCACGTCAATTTTGAAATTGAAATTGTGGATATCGGTTTTCCACATGTAAGTGCTGAACTAAGTAATGAATTATTACATAATAAACAATTGGACGTTTATAGTTTCAAAAGCGATAGTGTTACAGTTTGAATTCAGATAATATCTATATATAGAGATTATAGACATTTAAAAATTCTAAAGACTCTAGAGATTCTAGAAATACTAACAATTGTGGAAATCTACTGATCCAAGAGATTCTGCGTACTTTAGGGATTATAAAGCTTCTATAAATTCCGGAGAAGCTAGGGATTCTAGAGATTCTATAAATTCAAGAGTTTCTAGACATTCAAGATTTTCCAGAGAATGCAGAAACTCAATAGATTCCAGAGAATCCAGATACTCTAAAGATCCCAGAGGTTCCCTAGATTAAAAAAAAAATCTAGAGTTTATAGAAATTCTAAAGATTCTAGAGATTTTAGGAATTATAAAGTTTCTAAAGATTCTCGAGATTCTGGAAATTCAAGAGATACCAGAAATTCCACAGATTCCAGAAAATCTATATATTTTAGGGATTTTTAAACTTCTAGGGATTCTACAGACATTTAAAGATTCCGGAGGTTCTAGAGACTCTTGAAATTTTAAAGATTCTAGCGATTCCACGGATTCAAGAGATTCAAAATAGTTTAGAGAATCCAAAAATTCCACAGATTCAAGCGATTTCATAGAGATTATAGAGATTATAGACATTTAAATGTTCTAAAGACTCTAGAGATTCCAGAAATACTAAAAATTGTAGAAATCTACTGATTCAAGAGATTCTGCGTATTTTAGGGATTATGAAGCTTCTATAAATTCCGGAGAAGCTAGGGATTCTAGAGACTCTATAAATTCAAGAGTTTCTAGATATACAAGATTTTCCAGAAATTGCAGAAATTCAATAGATTCCAGAGAATCCAGATACTCTAAAGATCCCAGAGGTTTCCTAGATTAAAAAAAATCTAGATTTTCTAGAAATTCTAAAGATTCTAGAGATTTTAAGAATTATAAAGTTTCTAAAGATTCTCGAGATTCTGGAAATTCAAGAGATACCAGAATTTCCAGAGACTCGAGATTCTAGATATCCTACAGACATTCTATATATTTTAGGGATTTTTAAACTTCTAGGGATTCTACAGACATTTAGAGATTCCGGAGGTTCTAGAGACTCTTGAAATGTTAGAGATTCTAGCGATTCCACGGATTCAAGAGATTCAAAATAGTTTAGAGAATCCAGAAATTCCACAGATTCAACAGATTTCATAGAGATGATAGAGATTATAGACATTTAAAAATTCTAAAGACTCTAGAGATTCTATAAATCCTAAAAATGTAGAAATCTACTGATCCAAGAGATTCTGCGTATTTTAGGGACTATAAAGCTTCTATAAATTCCGGAGAAGCTAGGGATTCTAAAGATTCTATAAATTCAAGAGTTTCTAGATATTCAAGATTTTCCAGAAACTGCAGAAATTCAATAGATTCCAGAGAATCCAGATACTCTAAAGATCCCAGAGGTTTCCCAGATTAAAAAAAAATCTAGAGTTTCTAGAAATTCTAAAGATTCTAGAGATTTTAAGAATTATAAAGTTTCTAAAGATTCTCGAGATTCTGGAAATTCAAGAGATGCCAGAAATTCCAGAGACTTTCGAGATCCTAGATATACTACAGACATTCTATATATTTTAGGGATTTTTAAACTTCTAGGGATTCTATAGACATTTAGAAATTCCGGAGGTTCTAGAGACTCTTGAAATTTTAAAGATTCTAGCGATTCCACGGATTCAAGAGATTCAAAAAAGTTTAGAGAATCCTGAAATTCCACAGATTCAAGAGATTTCATCGAGATTATAGAGATTATAGACATTTAAAAATTCTAAAGACTCTAGACATTCTAGAAATACTAAAAATTCTGACCTGACCTGTTTTTGACTTAATTTTGGGACCCCGTTTTGTCTTTTTTTGTATGGAAAATTTAAAACGATCTTGAGGTTCTAGCTATTTCTGTTTGGAAAGAATTTGAAAGTGTTTTGGAGCCTCCATAATAATTTAATTAAATTTGTTAGAGGATACGTCATTTGCCAAAATCAGTCTTAACAGATACTAGCCCCGCCCCCCGTCTTCTCTTTTCTTAGAGGGTATTTCATTTGGCAAAATCAGTTTTATCTGATAAGGAACTAGCCCCGCCCACCCACCCTCTCTTTTCTTAGAGAATATCTGATTAGCCAAAATTAGTCTTATCTTAGCAGGTACCTAGGGCGAATGGGGCCAGTACTTGTCAAAATAAGACTGATTTTGGCAAATGACCTACTCTCTAAGAAAATAACGGGTGGGTGGGCGGGGCTCCTATTTGCTAAGATAAAACTGATTTTGGCAAATGACATACCCGCTAAGAAAAGAGAGGGTGGGTGGGCGGGGCTAGTACCTACTAAGATAAGACTGAGTTTGGCAAATGAGATATCCTCTAAGTAAAGACATTTTCCAGACACCCGATATAAAAAGAGAATATTACATTTTTTAAGGATGTATTGATTTTTTTTTTTTGTAATAAAGGAAAGTCTTTTCTTCATTAATGTGATTCTCATTTATGTATGCTATTAATCTTCGGTTTTGAGAGTGCTTTCGACAATTATGACCTTCTATACAGTCAGACGAAACCGCAGCCGATACTACCGCCAACGATTAGGGGAAATCGTTGTTAGTAATGTGAAAATCTTTCTCTTCTGTCTGAAGACGGTACTATGTATCGAAACACGTATGTCAGTGTATACAAATAAAATAATATTAACTCTTATTCATCCTCTGAAGCTGTAAAATATTTTTATACATTTTTTATTTTTGATTTTAAAGTTATATATTTTAGAAACACTTAGTGACTTAAGGTTTGTGATTTTTTTTGTCACGTTGGCAGCCTATTTAACATTTTATGATGGCATACTTGATTGTCAAAGTGACATTAATGACAGCTGTGAACTGTCAGCATGGATGCCAGTAATTCAGAATTGCAAACACAAAAAATTTCCCAAATGGAAAATAAAAAGCCACAAAAGGGTTCGTAACTCAGAAAAAAAAAAAAAGAAAATAATAGAATCTTGAAATGTTCTTTTTTCTTTTTTCAGACAATATAAGACGGAAAACTTATCTCCATCGGGTTCTGCAGACTCCAGAAATAATGAAATTGTTGCAGATTGCATAATATTTAGTGTCTGAAATTGACAGAACGTCAATTTTGAAATTGAAATTGTGGATATCGGTTTTCCACATGTAAGCGCTGAACTAAGTAATGAATTATTACATAATAAACAATTGGACATTTATAGTTTTCATAATCGATAGTGTTACAGTTTGAATTGAGATAATATCCAATACAATGAAAGTTATTAATTTTAGAACAGTCTGTGTAACAAGTGTTTTAAAATTTTTTATACAAATTTTTAACAACAATCACTTAATTTTCACACATAATCTGCTAAATTTTCCAGACCTTTACCCAATCCCGTTGGTCCCAGTCGCCGCAATTTCTCAATCCCATTCTAATCAACACCATTATTTACTCTTACGCTGCCAAACCAAAAATTGATTAAATAATAACAACAAGAAATCCATTAGATATGATCTTTACTAAACCTGTTACGAGCCTACAAGTGGTTGCACCAGACACACCTACCACTCCAATATTTGTCAATTTTTCCAATATAAAAGCCTGACTTTCCTCAAAGTCAGCATCACTTCTTGCCTTACAACCAACACCACCACTAGCAACAATGGCCGCCAAGGTAACAAAACCCCCCATTAAACCCTCAACCCAACAAACTTTCTTGCAGATCGTAGTCTTCTTCGCCGCGTTAGCCGCCGCCAACGCCGGCCTCTTGTCCGCCCCGGCCGTCTCCACATACGCCGCCGCCCCCGCCTACTCCTCCATCTCCTCTTACGCCGCTCCCGCCATCTCCACTTACGCCGCCGCTCCCGCTGTCTCCTACGCCGCTCCTGCCGTCAGATACGCCGCTCCCGCGGTATCCTACGCCGCTCCCGCGGTCTCCTACGCCGCTCCTGCAGTCAGATACGCCGCTCCAGCCATCCACGCCGCTCCCGTAGCCGCCGTCGCTAGAGTCGCCGCCCCAGCGGTCTCCGTCCACCCCGCCCCAGCTGTCAGATACGCCGCCCCAGCTGTCAGCTATGCCGCTCCAGCTATTGGTGTCGCTCATGCCGCTCCAGCTATTAGCGTCGCTCATGCCGCCCCCGCTGTTAGCTACGCCGCTCCCGCCTACAGCGTAGCTCATGCCGCTCCAGCTGTCAGCTACGCTGCTCCAGCTGTTAGCTACGCCGCTCCCTCTTACGGGTACGCCGCCCCCGCCATTGGGCTCGCCCATGGGGCTGGTTTCGGTTACGCCGCCGGTTATGGTGCCGGTTATGGTGCCACTTACGGTGCCGCTTACGGTGCCAAGTATTTCTAAGTGTGTTGGGTGTTAAAACGAATGAAGTTTTTTGTTGGTTGTACATATTTTTTTTTGTAGAGTATTTTGTTCAGTTTTTGTTGTACTTGAACAGACTGTTGTACTGAGTTTTTAAATTAAATTTAATACAGAAAATATTTCAGTCTTTTATTGTGTTTGTTCCATTTTTTAAATTAATTGGAAAAACGGTCTAGGAATTTCCAAGAGATAATATTTTCCAATTATTACGTATATTTGTATTTCGTCGTCGGATATTCTTTTTAAATTAGATTACGGATAAAACGTCCAATATCCTTTTTGGAGATTTACCTCTGTTCTGCTAATGTTTTGTTAAGGAAATTTGAATATTTCTAATTTTGGTTAAGTTTGATGATTTTTCCGCAATTCTGTCCGGTAATTTTCTAACTGTAAATTTAAAATATTCCTCGAGACTCTCCCCTGTTATTTTTGCGTTACAAAAAAAGACAGCTCGTCATCTGCATGTATTTTTTTCTTTGAAGTCTTATTGCCATCTGCTTTGTGAGGCTTTGAAAAACTTGCTTGTAAAGCATAAACGAAGATAGTAATTTATAAAGAAATTTATTCTAATGAACTCTGGAAATATAAATTTGTTATTGCTCGGTTTGTTTACAGCGATGTGAATATTCCACAATTTCTGAGAAGCTCCTATTAAATATAAATAAATAGGGCTGTTTTTATCCAACCAAATATATAAATAGCGAATATTTTCAATTTTTTAATATAAATCGCGCAAGAAAAGTTATACAATTTAATGACGTTTTTTCAACACTTCACAAAAAATTTTTCATCGCGGTGAACTCCGATTTTCCTAATATTTATTTTATTACCAGTAAATATTTTGTTTTTGACTGCCAATCAATCACCCCTTCTTTTGATAGGTCGATAAAAGCAATCCGAATTTTTTCTGTTTGCGCGCAGCTCCGACCTGATTTTTTCTTTAAATCCGATTGCTTATTCAAAAAATTGGGCGAAATTGTTTCGACAGAACTTCCCTCGCTCCTGAAATACAATAAAACGTATCCAGCAGTCAGTTTTGCAATTCTTAATTTAATCAATAAAATAAATTGAGTCAGCCATTAATTTTTTTGAGACACCTGTATGGAATAATAAATCTCAAGTAGAGATTCTAGAAATTCAAAAGATTCTAGAGATTTTAGAGATAGTAAAGTTTCTAGAAATCTAATAATTCTAAAGATTCTATATATTTTAGGAATTAAAAAGGCTCTAGAGATTCTAAAAATTCAAGAAATTTCAGAAATTCCACAAATTCCACAGATACCAAAGATTAAAGAAATTTCAGAGATTTCAAAGATTCTAGCGATTTTAGGGATTCAAGAAATTCAAAATATTCCAAAGATCTCAAAATTCCAGAGATTCTAGATATTTAAAGATTCTAGAAATGTAGTGATTTTGGATATTGTATATATTTTAGGGATTACGAAGTTTCTAGTGTTTCCGGAAATGTTAGAGAATTTAGAGATTTTAGGAACTCTAAAGATTCTAGAGATTCAAGAATTTCAAGGGATTTCAGAGATTCCAACGATTTCAGAGATCCCGGAGCTTCTAGAGATTTTATAGATTAAAGAGTTTCTATAAACTTTAGAGATTATAAAGCTACTAGAGCTTTCGGAGAACCTAGAGTTTCTAGAAATTCTAGGGATTCTAGAAAATCTAGAAATTTCAAAATTCCAAAGAATTTAGACAGACTAAAGAGCCTAAGTAGTCTAAAAATCTAATGATTATAACGATTCTAGAGATTCTGGAGATTTAAAAAATTCAAGAGATTGAAGAAATGCAAGAATTTCAAGGGATTTCGGAGATTCCACAGATTTCCGAAATTCCAGAGATTATAGACGTTCTATAGATTTTAAAGATTCTGGAAATTCTAGAGGTACTAAAAATTCTAGAAATCTACCAATCGAAGAGATTCTGCGTATTTTAGGCATTATAAAGCTTCTATAAATCAAGAGTTTCTAGATATTCAAGATTTTCCAGAGATTGAAGAAATTCAATTGATTCCACAGAGAATCCAGATACTCTAAATATTCCAGAGGTTCCCAAGATTAAAAAAATAACAGAGTTTCTAGAAATTCTCAAGATTCTAGAGATTTTAGGACGCCATATCTACAATCCTAAAAACTCTAGAAATCTAATATTTCCAAAGATCCTATATATTTTAGGAATTATAAAGTTTCTAAAGATTCTCGAGATTCTGGAAATTTCAGAGATTCCAGAAATTCCACAGATTTTAGAGATTCCAGAGAATCTCAAGGTTCTAGACTATACTATAGATATTCCATATATTTTAGGGATTATTTAACTTCTAAGGACTCTACAGACATTTAGAGATTCCGGAGGTTCTAGGGACTCTTGAAATTTTAAAGATTCTAGCGATTCCACGAATTCAAGAGATTCAAAAAAGTTTAAAGAATCCTGAAATTCCACAGATTCAAGAGATTTCATAGAGATTATAGAGATTATAGACATTTAAAAATTCGAAAGACTCTAGACATTCTAGAAATACTAAAAATTCTAGAAACCTACTGATCCAAAAGATTCTGCGTATTTTAGGGATTACAAAGCTTCTATAAATTCCGGTGAAGCCAGGGATTCTAGAGATACTATCAGTTGAAGAGTTTCGAGATATTCAAGTTTTTCCAGAGATCGCAGAAATTCAGTAAATTCCAGAGAATCCAGATATTCTAAAGATTCTAGAGGTTCCCGAGATAAAAAAAATCTAGAGTTTCTAGAAATTCTAAAGATTCTAGAGATTTTAGAGACGCTATATCTACAATCATAAAAACTCTAAAAATCTAATAATTCTAAAAATCCTATATATTTTAGGAATTATAAAGTTTCTAAAGATTCTGGAGATTCTGGAAATTCAAGAGATTCCAGAAATTCCACAGATTACAGAGGCTCAAGATTCTAGATATACTATAGATATTCTATATTTTTAGGGATTATTAAACTTCTAGAGACTCTACAGACATTTAGAGATTCCGGAGGTTCTAGACATTCTATAGATTCCCGAGGTTCTATAAACTTTAGAGATTTTAACGCTACTAGAGCTTTCAGAGAACCTAGAATTTCTAGAAATTCCAAAGATTCCAAAGAATTTAAACAGACTAAAAATCTTAAGGAGTCTAGAAATCTAATGATACCAACGATTATAGTGATTCTGGAGATTTGAAAAAATCAAGAAATTGAAGAAATTCCAGAATTTCAAGAGGTTTCGGAGATTCCACAGATTTCAATAATTCCACAGATTATAGACATTCTATAGATTTTGAAGATTCTGGAGATTCTAGAGGTACTAATCCAAGAGATTCTGCGTATTTTAGGGATTTCAAAGCTTCTATAAATTTCGGAGAAGCCAGGAATTCTAGAGATTCTATACATTCAAGAGTTTCTATATATTCAAAATTTTACAGAGATTGCAGAGATACAAGAGATTCCAGTGAATCCAGATAATCTAAAGATTCCAGAGATTCCCGAGATAAAAAAAAAGTCTAGAGTTTCTAGAAATTCTAAAGATTCTAGAGATTTTAGAGACGCTATATCTACAATCCTAAAAACTCTAGAAATCTAATATTTCTAAAGATCCTATATATTTTAGGAATTATAAAGTTTCTAAAGATTCTCGAGATTCTGGAAATTCAAGAGATTCTAGAAATTCCACAGATCCCAGAGACTCTCGAGATTCTAGCGATTCCACGGTTTCAAGAGATTCAAAAAAGTTTAGAGAATCCAGAAATTCCACAGATTCAAGAGATTTCATAAAGATTATAGAGATTCTAGAAACTGCTTCCACAGATATTTTAGGGGTTATAGATTTCGGAGAACCTAGAGAATATAGAAATTCTAATGATTCTAGACATTTTAGAGATTTTAAAAGTTCTAAAGTTTCTATAAATCTAATGAATTTAGAGATTCTAAATATTTTAGGGATTATAAAGCTTCTGAAGGGAATCTAGAGATATATGGACTCATCACTCAGATTTATTCGGCGAAATTTTTAGCTGACGTCATCAATTTTTTGGAGGGGATAAGCAAACATATTGTGATTAAAAATTTATTATGCTGGTCATAACTTTAAAACATCTGCAAAATTTCAAAGCCTTCGGTTCTGCAATTTTGACTTTTTTTTCCAAAAATCTGGATCGCCGATTTAAATACTCAGTTTGTGAAAATCATAAAGAAATTATATTCTGCAACTTCCAGTAATGACTATATCTTACTGTAGCTTCTGTCGATCAATAAATTTACGTTTATTTACAAAGTTATGCTTCTATATGTTGGAACACTGTAATTCTTACTTAAAAAAATTCTTATGTATTTTTACGACATTATACAGAAAAGTGGTATCGAGCCATGACATTAAATAGTGATATCATAACTAACAAGGGAGCCATTACAAACAACACGTCGAAAAAAACTAGGACACGTGTTAAATTCTTGAGCATTAAGTTGTAAATAACGATATTTGTCATGTATTTAAAAAAACATGTGTCCAATAATAACGCTTTTAATTTTTATGAAAAATTGCCAAAATAAATCTGTTACAAATGATACTTGTGCAACTCTGTCTAAAATCCAATTAAATAAAAAAATATAGATCACTCTTTTCGATGCAATTAATTTGCGATGCAATTACCTGCATGCAACCGTCGAAATACTTCAAACGTTCCACTTTTGGACATTGTGAACGTACACGTAATTAACAAATCATAAAACTTCTTACGAAATAAATACGAGCAATAATTAAATAAGTCTTGCTTGTATTAAACGTGAACTTTACATTTAGGCAGCATATTACAAAAAAACTGGTCGCCGACCAATGTGGAGCACAGCTTCATGACACACCTACGGACTCGAAAGAACCTTTGATGTTTAGAACACCCAATAAGGTCACCAGAATTTCATTCACACGAAATTTTCAAAACTGAACTTTGTACGTTGCTAAATCACACATCAATCATATTTCGCTTTCAGACCGTTTCTTAACCACCCCCGTTTCCGCATTAATTCAGCACACTCAACAATCCATCCCAGACATATTTATAAATAAACAAATTAATGAATTATTAATCG